ATCACCCCTTCTCCTCGTCACCAGCGCTGGGGTTACCGCTACACACCACCACACCCAACTTTTCACACGGATGCTTGCCATCCAAATCCAGGCCCTTGCGCTCGTGTGGTTTTTCTAGCGTTATTTATGTTGCTATGACAAAAAGGTTTGATGGACCCTGTCCCAAGGGAAAACAAAACAAAAAACTTTATTATAGGATTTAAGCAATGATTCAGTGCCTGGCAGTGGTGGCTCACACCTTTAATCCCAATACTCAGAAGGCAGGGGCAGGTGAATCTCTGTGGAGTTCAAAGCCAACCTGATCTACAGAATGAGTTCCAAGACAGCCAGGACTACACAAAGAAATCCTTGGTGTGGGACAATGATCTATATAAGATCAATTATATTTTAAATAAACACTGATTGGCCAGTAGCCAGGCAGGAAGTATAGGCAGACAACCAGACAGGAAGTAGGGGCAGGTCAATGAGAAAAGAAGAATTCTGGGAAGAAGGAAGCCCATTCCTCCACAGTCCTGGCCCAGCCACAGAAGAAGCAAGATGTGACTGCCCAGCTGAATAAGATACTGAGCTACATGGCTAACACAGATAAGAATAATGGGCTAATAATGGGCTATATAAGTTATAAGTTAATAAGAAGCCTGAGCTAATGGGCCAATCAGTTTATAACTAATGTAGACTTCTGTGTGATTTCTTTGGGACTTGACGATTGTGGTAACCAGGCAGGACAGAAACCTCAGACAACAAACCCTGTCTCAAAAAGAGAGAGAAAGGGAGGGAGAGAGAGACAGAGAAAGAAAGGTGGTTCAGAGATTAAGAGGTCTTTTTGATCTTTAACGGTATCTGGCCTCAGTTCCCAGCATCCACATGACAGCTCAAAATCACCTGTAACTCGTTACAGGGGTCTGATGCCCTACTCTGACCTCTGAGGGCACTAGACACACATAGAGACATTCAGGCAAAACAGTTGTGTATAAAAAATAAGTAAATCTGAAAAATTTCTAGAAGAAATAAGTAAACAAGCTATATTTTGAGTATCATAATGACCCTAAATCTCAGACCTAATTCTTCTTTTTCAAAGATTTTACTTTATGTGTGTGAGTGTTTTGCCTGAAGGTGTACATGCAGGCCCGTGGAGGCCAGGAGAGTTGTTGGATCCCCTGAAACTGGAGTTACAGTTGGTGGGTAGCTGCCATGCAGGTGCTAAGAACAGAACCGGGTCTTTTTTTTTTTTTTTTTTTTTTTTTTTTTTGGTCTTTCAAGACAGGATTTCTCTATGTAGTCTTGGCTATCCTGGAACTCACTCTGTAAACCAGGCTGACCTCGAACTCACAGAGATCCTCCTGCCTCTGCCTTGAAAGCACTGGGATTAAAGGTGTGCGTTGGTCAGAACCTCCGTCTTCTGCAAGAGCAGTAAGTGCTCTTAATCACTGAGCCATCTTGCCAGCCTACTGCCCAGCCCACATTCTTATGTAATATCATCAAGAGCACTCCAGAAGTCCACGGTAAATAACTGCAGAGAGAGAGAAGCCTGGATTTGTGAGGGGATTTTCTGGCTTATACCAGCCCTATTACAAACCCTCATACAGTAAACAATAGTGGAAGCAACAGATGATCATGCGGGGCCTTTGCCCCCAGAGCTTGTCATTAATGTTCAAAAGAGGGCAGCTTGCAGCAGGTGCACAGAGGTCAGAAAACATGATTCAAGTTTGCATGATTCTCCAGTACCCTAATCCCTTCATATTGTATCTACAAAGAAAACAGGAAAATATCCTGACCAGAATGGTTTTCAGACTTGAAAAATATAGTGGAAGAGCCCACAGGGTTAGGTGACTCTGACTCTTTACTGACAGGTGGTCTTGTACAATTTGACAGTTAGGACAAAATCTGTTGGATAGTTTGCATTTGAAATGTCCACTGCAGGTTCAGCTGTTTGAACACTTAGCCCAAAGCTAATAGTGTCATTTTGAGAGATCCAACCTTTAGGAAATGGGGATTACTGGCAGAAGTGAGTCACTGGCAAGCGGGCTTTTTGGGTTGGAGCCCAAGCCAAATGCTCACCCTTGCTACCTGCTTCATGATCTGCAAGATGTGAGCAAGCCAAGCCTCAAGCTCCTGCCACTGTGGACTCCTTCCCAGACTGTGCCATTTCCAACACTGAGCAGAAACAAATCTTTCCTCCCTTACGTTGCTTCTTAGCATGTATTTTTGGCCACAATAACAAGAAAAGAAAGGAGTGTACTCAATTTAACTTCAAAACTGAGATAAAGATTGGGATTATAGCTCAGTGGAAGAGCTTCTCTTGCATGTAGGTTCAGTCTCCAGTAGAAAAATTTTAAAAAAAAGTTCCTACTAGATCAAAACCAGACAGTTTAGATATGAAAATGCTTTGTAATGAACCAAGTTTTATCTGCTAGAAGAATACTATTCCCAAAATTCCTTTTCTTGCCAGGTGGTGGTGGCACACTCAGAAGGCAGAGGCAGGCGGATCTCTGTGAGTTTGAGGCCAGCCTGCTCTACAAAGTGAGTTCCAGGACAGCCAGAGCCGTTACATGGAGAAGGCCTGTCTTGCGAAACCAAATAAATAAATAAATAAACAAAATTCCTTTTCTTGGCTAGACATAGGCAGGCTGACATGCTTATAGACACATCAAAGAAATGTTATAAATAAAACTGGACTGGTGGCATACCCTATAGTCTCAGCACTTGGGAGATGGAGTCACAATGGTTAGAATTTTAAAGCCATCCCCAGATATACACACATTTGAGGACAGCTTCAGAAGACCCTGTCTCCCACTGGTGAGATGGCTCGGCAGATAAAGACGTGGCTGCCAAGTGTCACAGCCTGAATCCAATCCCAGGGACCCACACTGTGAAAGCAGGGACCCAACGCCCACAAGTTATCCTTTGAGCTCCATGTGCTCAGTGCCGCAAGCAGGTCCCAATCCCCACTACATCCTTGTCAACACAAACACAGCTTCCGTCTTGAAGGGAATAAAAGATAGTTTATTCTAGAGACAAATTTAAGTGACTAAGTCCTGAGAACACAGAGGCAGGTTACCCCCAAAATTCCATATTCCAACGTGGAGGCAGTTCCAGAGTTTCACAGAACAAAGACAGTCATCAGTCAAGGCAAGTTTTAAATACATCGATGAGATGAGGTCCGAGAGTTGGCACAGCTGCTGAGAGCACTTGTTCTTGCTGATTGCCTGGGTTCGGTTTACCAGCACCCACACGGTGGCTCACCAGTGTTTGGGATTTGATACCCTCTTCTGACCTCCACGGGTACCAGGCATGCACATGGCTCACACTCATACACAAAACAAACAAACAAACAAACAAACAATACATTGGTGGTTACACCAGAGATGTGGCTGCAGCCAGATGGGGGAAGCTTCTCTATACGCCTCAGATGCTATCTGAGGACATTCTTAACTTTTGGGGTTGGTGGAAGCTAGGGGTCTATAAGCTAATAGATTCCAAAGGCCTTCATGAGTCATAGGATGTTAGCTCTGACACAGAAATGGGCAAGGAATGGTTATTCGGGGACTAAAGCAAGTCTGGGATAGGTAACTCTCCTCTGGACCTGCAACATGCCAACCTCTCCACATCCCTTCAGTTCCCATCAGTCAGTCAGTCTCTGCAGACAACTCATTTTCAGGGGTTCTCACGGACAGTTCCCCCGGCTATCCAGGTCCTCCCATTACCCGTTAACTATTATAAGGTCCTCCATGTCTAGAAAGCTCATTGCTGGGTCTGAGGAAGATGAGACTCAGTAGTGGGCAGGAGAATAGTCTTCAGGAGAGAGGAATCACTGGGAACCGTTAAGAACAAGCATGATGGCACATGCCTCAATCCCAGCATTCAGGCGAATCTCTGTGAGTTCAAAGCCAGCCTGGTCTACATAGGAGTGCCATGATTACATAGAGACTCTGTCTCAAAAATCAAAAAGCAAAAACGGAAAGAAATAAAGAAGGGAAAGAAAGAAACTCCTGAGTCATATAAAAACTATTGGCAACATGTTCCAGATCCAACTGTTTTCTTACCACCTCCATATCAGTCACATTTACCTTGACATATAATAGGATTACTGCACTTAAAATTAGCATAATTAAGAATGCAGTTTGGCCCAGTAGAGTAAAGGTAACAGATGAAGAAAACTTGCATTTTAAATAACCCAGAATTTACATTTTTAAAAGCTGCCTTCTCTGTTTTACCCTATGTCTGCAGTTTTTGGCACTCTGTGAGCTGCCACACTCGCAACTCTAGGGGAGTCACAACTCTAGGGGAGTCACTGTGGTGTTGTCTCATTCTGTTTAAATCCATCTAGTTATACTATAGGACATCTTAGAAACTAGTTTGTTTGTTAATAATTTATCTATTTTTATTTTATGTGCACTGGTGTTTTGCATGTATGTCTGTGTGAAGGTGTCAGATTCCCTAGAGCTGGGGTTCAGATCCCCTGAAGCTGGGGTTCAGATCCCCTGGAACTGGGGTTCAGATCCCCTGGAACTGGGTGTTCAAATCCCCTGGAACTGGGTGTCAGATCCCCTGGAATAGTTGTGAGTTGCCATATGGGTGCTAAGAATTGAACCTGAGCCCCCTGGAAGAGCAGCCAGTGCTCTTAATGGCTGAGCTATCTCTCCAGCCCCCTTAGAAATAAATTTAATCAAGAAATTTAAGGTATATAGTATCATGAAATTTTTTAAAGATTCATGTCTTTTATAATTTGGATAAACAGAGTCAACCCAAACTTTTGAATGCCTCTGGTTAGGGTAAATGAAGTTAAAGTTTAATTTAAAAACTACATTTTTTTTTTTGCTTTAACCAAATTATACTGAATAATAAGGATGTATATAAAGAAGATATATATTAAAAAGATAATGAAAACATGAATCTTTTAAATATAAAAGCTAGTTTTGAATGAGATAAGGATTTATGGTAAACAAACAGCCAAAACAAAAATATGATTAATAAACAAATATAATATCTTCATTTATAAATTCATTAAGCCAAGATTAGGATTATTTTACTACTTAGAAATGTACCTGTGAGCCAAGCACTGGTGGCATTTAATCTCTTAATCCCAGTACTTGGGAGGCAGAGGAAGGTAGATCTTAGTTTGAGCCAATCTGGTCTGCAAAGTGAGTTCCAGGACAGTTAGGGCTATACAGAGAAACCCTGTCTTGAAGAAAAACAAAGAAAATAAATGTTCCTATTGGAATATTAAATATCACTTAAAAATTCTAGATCTAATTATAAAAGTATTTAAGAAACATGAAAAGTGAGAGACATACTTAGTTACACAGGGAACTCAGCAGTCGATGGCATTGAAGATCGAAGTCAGTCAGCATTTGTAAAGTCTACATGAACGTGTTCCCAGATGACGTGAGAAATCACTGCCTCGGATTTCACAGCCCAGGAGTGAGTTAGGACCTGGACATGGTTCACCTAGGAATTAGAATCAGTCTTTGAGGTGATTTCTTCTTTCTTTTGGTTGCTGAGATCATCTGTTTTCTTTATCCTTTGAGAAAGACTCAGTAACTATTTTAGAATTTCAGTCATCATAGTTAAATCTTTTGCAATACCATGTGTTATTATCTAACAGAACAAATTTTATACACAGATTTAAATATTTGTCTGATAAAATGAGTTTTACAATCACTGTGTAATTGAATAGAGATGTTCTAAATAGGACTAACTCTCTAAACAGAACTTTTTTCTATGGTTAAAACCACGATAGACTACTTAAAAAGTCATGTAGTCTTTGTCTACTTAGGAAAATAAAACCAAAATCTAAATATGAATTTTAAAGTTCCTTTAGTAAAAATAAATAAGTAAAGTTTTTGTTGTTTTAAGAGGTTTTTGTTATTTTAAGTTATTGGAGTTTTTTGGTAAACATTCCTACAAATAGATCAATACTTAAGAAAATATTATTGTAGAGAAAAGAGTATTAATCTTACCTTAGGCCTCTAGTAGCTTAGCTCTGTACTCTTATCATCAGGAAAGCTTTGTTTATTAGAGGCCAGGGAGTGGTGGCACATCCCTTTAATCCCAGGACTCCAGGCCACCCTGGGCTACAGGAGATTGAATCTGTCTAAAAGAGAAATAGAAGTCGCACAAAGGTGCTCCCAGCACTCGGGAGTCACAGGCCTTTAATCCAAGCACTGGGGAAGTGGAGACAGGAGTGATAAGGGCAGAGAGAGGTATATAAGGCAGGAGGAGACAAGAGCATTGCAGTCTGAGGTTTGGCGGAGAACATTACAATCTGCAGTCACATTGAGGACAGGGTCGCCCCTTTGTTTGAGCCTTGGTAGAGGTAAGGACTCTCTAGTGGCTTGGCTGTTTTGTTTTTCTGATCTTCAGCCTGAACCCCAGTATCTGTCTCTGGGTTTTTATTAGTCGGGCTACAGTACTGAATTATGACCTTTAAAACTTTTTATAACATTTATATTATAGTCAACTTAGTTATAACTATATTTTTAAAAATCTTTTTAGAACATACTTTATTTTATTTTTTATTTTATTTTGGTTTTTCAAGACAGGGTTTCTCTATAGGCATTTTTTTTCTTAGCAACCTTTTTATCAATATTTGATAAATATTTAAGTCATTATAACAGACACTGTGGTGATGTGAAAGAAAATGCCCCCCCAGGGAGTGGTGCTATTAGGAGATGTGGTTTTGTTGGTGTTCATGTGACTTTGTTGGGGGAAGTGTGTCACTGCGAGGGCGGGCTCTGAGGTCTCCTATGTTCAAGCTACCGACGAGTGTGACCCACAGTTGCTTCTGCTATCTGTGAACCAAGATGTAGACTCCCAGCTCCTTCTTCAGCACCATGTCTGTCTGCAGGCCACTATACCTTTCCCTTGATGATAATGGACTAAACCTCTGACCCTAGTAAACAGCCCCAATCAAATGCTTTCCTTCATAAAGGTTGCCATGGTCACAGTAATAGGAACCCTAAGACAGGTACCTTAAAGTTATTTTTTGTTAGAAAAAACATTTATGTCTTTTAGGGTTTACAAGTTATCCAGAGCAGGATAAAAATTTGGCATTTATGACTTTAATACTTTTAACTAGAAATAGAGATAAATAATTCTTCCAAATAGGTCATTATGATGTGATACATTAAGATTATCTGTAAACTCTAAGACATCTTCATAGATAGGCCTTAAAGTAGGTTTTTGTTTTGTTTTGTTTTGTTTTTGAAACAGGGTTTTTCTGTGTATCTCTGGCTGTCTTGGAACTCGCTCTGCAGTTCAGACTGGCTTTGAACTGAGAGATTCGCCTGCCTCTGCCTCCCTGAGTGCTGGGGTTAAAGTGTGCACCACCACTGCCTGACTTAAAGTAGGTTTTTTAAATGACAATTTCTAAAAATTGCTTAGGGTTGTCTATTACATAGGCCTGGATAAGACATGAATCTTGAAAAATCTATTTGTTCATTTTTAAATATTTTTGAGGTTTTATTTTATATGTATGGGTGTTTTGTCTGCATGCATATTTGTGTATCAGGTATATACAGTGCCCATGAGGCTAGAAGAAGAAATCAGATCCTCTGGAAATGGGGTTACAGAAGATATTCACCACCATGTGGTTTCTGGGAACCACACCTGGATCCTTAGGAAGAGCAGCCACAGCCTTTTAACTAATGGGCCATCTCTCCAGGCCCCTCATTTATTTACTTTTAAAGAGGCAACAATAGCCAAAAAATTCTTAAAATTCTTATTTTTATAAGCATTCATATAATATAAATATATGAATATATCTAAAACCACAGATATGTTATCATTTTAATCCTTGAAATAAAAATTTTAATATCTTAAAGGATGATAATTATTGGGAAAATGTGTCCTGGTGTAGGAGTAATCGTGTCTTTGTGTGTGTGTGGTGTGTGTGTGTGTGTGTGTGTATGTGTGTGTATGTGTGTGTGTGTATGTGTGTGTGTGTATGTGTGTGTGTGTATGTGTGTGTGTGTGTGTGTGTGTGTGTGTGTGTGTTGAGACTGCATCTCACTATGTAGCCTTGACTACTCTGGAGCTCACTATGTAGACCATGCTGATCTCAAATTCACAGAGATCTGTCTGCCTCTGCTGCTGGGATTTTACTACACCTGGCCTTTGGAGCAATCATCTCTTAGTTTAGATCCTCACGTAATAGGATCACCTTGTAGAGCTGGAATTTAGATAAGAATCCAGGAGACAGACTTCTTGACTAGAGTTGTGTGATTTTATGTGTGTGTGTGTGTGTGTGTGTGTGTGTTCCATAAAAAGTATTAAAAACTTTAAATCTTAAAAACTCATATTAGCTGGGATAGTGGTAGTGTATTCCTGTCCCGCGCTACCGTCTCGCCAGCAAGAACCACGCGGTACACATAGGATCCTTTTGCAGAAAAGCTTTATGTCTCTTGGGAGCTAGAGCATAAGCCACATGGCAGAGACACAGATAAGATGGAACCCATCCCTTATATAGGAAACAGACCCTGCTTTGGACGTGTCATTCTTGGATTGATCAATTGTCCATAATCCCAGGTGAATGCCTCGGGAGTAGGCGGGGACAGTAGTGGAAAAATACCAACACGTGTGAGCTTTCTAGCTCACCTGGCGGTGCAGCGCCATCTATGGTGGAGAGTGTGGTTGCGGCCTTCTACATCTCCCCCTAATTTACTTCTTTGCAGAAATGCAACTCCCTAGGAAGGTAAAGATAGAGGTCGCACTTCCCAAAATGAAAACATTAAAATGGGCTTACACGGAATCTGCCCCTAGGTTCATGACACCTGGAACCTATCCGGCCTGCCCTCTGCCATTTTTCTGGGAAAGGGACTATACGGCAGGAAACCCTTATGCAGGACGACATATCTCTCAGAGAGGGCCATTCTCTGTGCGATGCTCTTCAGCTCGACAACCTTCAGGGCTAGCTAAGCCAAGCATTCCACCCTGTGCAATGGACCATAGTCCTAGGGGTGCAGGAGCTGGTTGGCTTAAACCTTACTGCTTTAACATAGATAGCCACATATCAGAAGAGGCTCCCTGTTTTAGGGCAGCCAGCGCTGTGCAAAAACCACTTTGTCCCTAAGACTTTGGGATTTGAGTCAGCAGACCATCCAGAGGAGAAACACTATTCCATAGCATAGGACTGTTCCAAACATTCCAACCCCCACCCATTCTTTGAAGTAGGAGATGAAGGACACAATCCAGGACTGGAATTCTTTGGCCAGGCTTATGTCCACTCGCGTGGAGTTGATTGTCACGATGGACCGTCTCAAGGAAGACAGCAAATCATCAAAATTCTCCTGCAAGATACAAAGACAATTCTCGGGACAAGTTAGCCACTTTTATAAAGTTCTCATATGGTATACTGGTCACACATAAGGCTGGAGTTTTCCATTCACAGCCCAATTGGGCAAGCTGCCATAAGCTATCCACCTGTTCTTTATTCTACCTGTAATAGATGTATCTATGGTAGCCTGTTGATCCAGGGCTGTAGCCACTGTGGTAGATAACTGATTGAGGGTCTCTGTTTTCCATGGTATAGGCTGTGCTGCCATTTAAAAAATGTATAATGAACAGAGCATCGGGGGCAGTTCCTTTATTATTCCCCCATTTTTCAATTTTAACAAGAACTGGTAAGTCCTCCAGTCCAATTACCTAGAAGATAACTAGACAATTGCTTAATAATCTGGGATCGCAGGGGCACAACTCTCCAGCTGCATCAAGAAGTCTGTAGTATCCAATTCTTAATTTGAATAACCATGGCATTTTGTAACCTGTCTTGAAGATACCCATAGTGTTTAGCAGAAATAACTGACAGGATAAGGGAAACTGATAGCAAGCAATAACTGACAAAACAAGGGGAAATCCAGCAGCATAGCAATGGCACAGCAACAATAACATTGCAATGTACAGCAACAACAGCACAGCAATAACTGACAGACCAAGGGCAGGAGCTGAACCATCCCTCAGGAACCCGCCAGCTCCGCAGCAATCAGGCCAGACAGCTCCATAGCAGAGGCTTTGTTCTCAGGCCTCTGGACAGATGAATCCACAGCATGAATAGTAGCATTCCTAGAAAAAAAACATCTCCCAAAATAACATTTAAGAGTATTAAAAAACTCAGTGTAAAAATTTAGCACAGTCAGTACTGGAAGTAGGCTGGTCTTGAACTTAGAGATCTACAGGTCTCTGTTTGTTGATATTAGATTTAAGATTTATTGGCTCCCGTATTCCTTGCCGGTATGGTGGCCTTGGGTTCCAGAGTTTGCCCGCCATCCAAGGGCTGTGTGCGGCCTTGGGCCTGCTTGCTGCGCGGATCCCCGTGTCCCAGGCCAGGAAGTAGCGGCTCCACCCTCAGGCGCCCCTGCCTTCCCCGTGGGGCTAGCCTAGTTCTCTGAGGCTGTGTTGGTGGCGGAGTGTGGTGGGAGCCGACACTCAGACCGAGGCGGCACAGGCCGCAACATCTCAAGGTCCGCGCCAGAGCCGCTGCGGCTCAAGGGGCCGATGGGAGAGGCGGCGACCAGGGCCGCTTTCCTACTAGCAAACTCTCAACACCTGTGCCATAGCAAAAGCGGCTGTAAACTCTCACAGATCCAGCCAACGACCCAATCACCCCAAAATCCAAGGGCCCTTCGCATCCATCTCCCTGCAGAACCCGAAACACCAAACAAGCCAAGCGTATACACAGCAATCTTTCAGGAGGACTTGAGTTCTTAAAATGCTAAGCAGTTCTTAAAAACTTAAGTCGCACTATGTAGATGTAATACGGTACTGCCTGTTTACTGCATTTAAACCTTAATTGCGCTTTTATTATGATAAATACGACCAGCCCTGCCTGAAGTCAGCATCGTTTAGCATAGCCAAATGGAACCAGAGCCATTTTACCCTCAGAGACCAGCACAGTTTTAGGTACATTGTAAGCCTTTTGGCCCGGCTGCCTGTGGCACCGCTGTGACATCCTCCAGGCCAGGCACCAACAGAGCTGCACCAATTGAGCCGGCGCAATGTGCTCCCCACCATAGCCATAGAGCAAAGCTCCGCTCCATCCGCCCTCCAGCCCCAGCTGCACCCACTCCGAGCCCAAACCGGTGTACGGAGCAAAG